GGGAAAAAAAAAAAAAAAAAAAAAAAAAAAAAAAAAAAAAAGAGCATCGGGCTTGCTTTTGGGTGTTCAGTTGTACCTGACAACTCAGCCGAGCTGCCCTCTCCCAGTACTAAATGGTATGTGAGAGCTGCATCTTATTCTTATGCATTTTCACATGTAAAGCAAAAAGCACTCTATTCAGACTTTCTCCACTGTGTCTTGGATTTTAAGACAGGCTATTTTACTAAAGTTGCTCTGATGAACACATCCCATATGAACATCCCCGGGACACAAACATTAAGTCACTATGCGTGCTTTTCTTCTGTCTGTACATTTTTTGGTCACAGTGCTCTCAAAATGGACGGTCTATTCTGTTCACCTGCTTCTTGGGTTTTCCAATCAAGGAATAAGAAATGCAGTGTAGGATTTCTCTAATGTATAATCTGCGACTCATTAGGAAATCGATCACCTACAAAAGTAAATATATTTTGTTCTCTTGATTCTATAAAAGCAGATTTGCTTTTCTTAAGCCTCATGTTTAATGGTTAATATTTAACATGATGCAAAAATTCTTAAATATATACTGTTAGGAATGAGTTTTCTTTTTTGCAGTCAGTATTTGCAACAATGGAGAATTCTTTTAGCAAGGCAATCGTCCTCTCTTGCTCTGCTCAGGAAGTCACGGTCACGGGTTTGATATGAGTGTTGTCTATACACATGGCAAGTTCCTGAGTGTATCGCCCAGGTCTTAAGGACTTCCTCTTCATTTTGGCCAGCCTGCTCACTGATGAGGTTTGTGCTCCTGTAGCTGCTCCCTTGAGGCGCACTGTTCCCGGCACGCCACAGCCACATGGAAAACCCCAGCCTGTGCTTTCACTCACAACAGGAGCTTCCTACCAGCTCACTTGCAAGAGCAGTGGACAGAAATGGCATTAATGTAATTGTTAAAAAACAGACTAAAAAGCAGAGGATTTTGATCCCATGCTAAGTTAGTTATACACCCAAAGTTAATTCTCATAAGCTTCATGTGTGTGCCAATTAAAATGAGTGGGAAGTTGCAGAGAGAATATATTTCAAATGGAAGATTTTGATTCACTTTCAATTTCATTCTGAGACCAACATGATTAAGTTATTTTGCAATTTGCAAAAGGCAAAAAGAGAAGTCAACCCACTCACACCACTGGAAAGAAGAGAAACAGGACACGTGGGCTGGCTCATCTGCTTCTGGCCCCATCACTTCCTGCACTTGGCCTAAGTCCTCAAGAACAGGAGCACAGGAGACCCCAAGTCTCTCTCCCTCCTGCAAGCCATGCTGAAATCACACACCTTGCTGCAGATGACCTTTCTTGTATCTGGGAAAGGAGGAACTGCCCCATCCTTTGGGACCCGAAGGAAGTTCTTATGTGTTAGAGAACTGAGGTGCTACGTGCACCCAGAATGTGTTGCTCGGACACCCACAAGGCCGCTCTCAACAGTGACTCTGCTGGCTGGGTCCTCCACACTTCTTCTGGGCTTACCAGCCAGCACCTATTTGCCAGCTGATGAGATGCTGTGAGGGCCTTAGGAACACTGTGATTCACAGCATAATGTGATGCTATTAAGCAATTGCAAACATGAAGCATTTGGAGTCTGAATGGAAAAGCATTTTTGAACTAAAATAGATTGTGTTGAAGATCATACAACGAAAGGGTGAGGATACTTCAAAAATTTCATGGAAAGGTTTGTATTAGTTTTTAAAGGACCCTCACTTGTGCTTCTAATTCTAACACATCCCCACCACCACCCATGAATGCACACGTGTAATCTTACACACACACACCCACACACATACATACACACTCACAGACTGATTCTTTCAACATAGACTCAGTGATCTTCTTTTGGAGATATAAATGAAAAATTTAACAGAAATTACCAAATTCAAAGTTATGCCCTAGAGAAACATAGATTTTTTAAAAACCATAGTGGGAGAAATCACAAAATTTCCCAACTATTGGCAAAGCCAGCTCAAACATTGATGATTTAGGCTAGGGCAGGTGTATTAAGTATATTTTCTTATTTTCTGTATTTCTGATGCTGTGGTATTTGGGGTTTCCCTGACTGGGGTAGCCAATTCTTAGAGATAGCAAATGACTCAGCCAGGGTGTGCATTTCATATCAAATGAGCCCGTCCGGGGTCCACACTCTGAACCACCTCCTGTATCTGGGTCTTACCCTCCAGCGGGAAATATTCCTGTGCCCCAACACCCTAGAGAACTAGAGACAGACCCTATGACCCAGAGCCCACTACAATTATTCATACTACCAATTCTGGGTCATCTTCTCTGCCTTGCTTTGCCTTGCCTCACCTCTCCCACAGAAACCACAATGAAGGCTCTTGCCCAAATTCCCCCCAGCCCCGCCTCCTGACCATCCCTGGTGCCTCCGATGTGGCCTGTGTGGTATGCCTCACCTCCTGCTCCCCAGTGAGCTGCGAGTGAGAACTTCTTCCTTCACTACATCATATCTGTGTCTGGGGTTCTTACCATGCTTGATTAAAGCAAATCCTGGTACATTTTAAAACAGGTGGGGGCCGACACCGTGGCTCACTAAGGAGAGTGCAGTGCTGGGAGTGCGGCGCTGGGAGCGCAGCGGGGCTCTCGCCGCGGGTTCGGATCCTATATAGGGATGGCTGATGCACCTATATAGGGATGGCTGGTGCACTCACTGGCTGAGTATGGTGTGGGTGACACCAAGCCAAGGGTTGTGATCCCCTTACCGGTCACAAAAAAGACAAGGAAAAAAACAAAACAAAACAAAAAACAAACAAACAAAAAACAGGTGGACAAAACTCTTCTAAAAGGGACAAATATAAATATTTTAGGCTTTGTGGGTCACACAGTCTCAGTTTCAATGAGTCACCTCTGTCTTTGCAGCACTAAAGTAGTCATGGGCAACACATATGTGAATGGGCAAGAGGGTGTTCCAGTAAAACTTTATTTAAAAAACAAGCAGCAGCCAAGTCCGGCTGGTGGGTTATCCTCTGCTGACCCCTGATTTAAAATACAATGTGCTTCATTTTCCATTTTAGCCTGCTGTGACTTCAGGGAGAACTCAGCTAAAGGAGACATAAATCTAATTCAGAAACTCTACAATTTCTATTTTATTAAAAATAGGTGTGATTATTCACAAGGCTCAATTAATAGGATTATGTTATGATAGATTTCTATTTTTTTCCTTAAATGACATCTGACAAAAGTCAGATGCAAGAGGTAATAGCTACACTTACTAGGCCCTGGTTGTGCCAAACTCTTTGGAAGCAGAGAAGAGGGTCTTTTCAGCCTCCTCACCAGGAAGATAAGATAATGCATTGCTTGTCTGCTGCCAGCCAAAAGGAGTAGGAGCTGCCCAGTTGTCCCCTGTCTGGATTGCCACTGCATGAAAGGTGCCAGGAGCCTTAACTGAACCAAACACTGGGAGAGGTGGTCCCTCCTGAGTCAGATCTAATGGCAGAAATGACATGGACCTTAAGAACAATGTAACAAGATGGACAAGACAGTGAACAAGCCTCAGCATCCTCTCCCTAAGCCCCCCGGAGCTCCACAGGAGCAGAGTAGGAGTGCACGAGTCTCCATAGGGAGGGACTGGGCAAGGACATCCTGGATGTGCCTTTCCTCTCCCCAGCATGCCCCGGGCAGCTCACTGCCTCCCCATCATTGCAGCAGCATGAACAAGAAACTGCAGAGGCCCATGGCCAGCTGGAGGAATGTCAGTTGAT